TGCGTGTGTGTGTCTGTGGGTGTGTGAGTGTGTGTGCGTGTGTGTGTGTGTGTGTGCGTGTGTGAGTGTGTGAGTGTGTGTGTGTGTGTGTGTGTGTGTGTGTGTGTGAGTGTGCGTGTGCGTGTGTGAGTGTGAGTGTGCGAGTGTGTGTGCGTGTGAGTGAGTGTGAGCGTACATGTGCGTGTGCGAGTGTATATGTGAGTGAGAGTGTGTGTGCGTGTGTGTGCGTGTGCGAGTGCGTGTGCGAGTGTATGCGTGTGAGTGAGTGTGCGTGTGTATATGTGAGTGAGTGTGAGTGTGTGCGTGTGTGTGCGCGTGCGTGAGCATGCATGTGTGTGTGCGAGTGTATATGTGAGTGAGTGTGAGTGTGTGCGTGTGTGTGCGCGTGCGTTGTGTGTGTGTGTGAGTGTGTGTGAGTGTGAGTGTCTGCAGACCTCAGGCTGTGTGAGCGGGGTCTTATGTGGGGTGAACAGCGTCCCCCGTCATCATCAGTGATGCTCTCTGTGCTGCCGAAGTGTTTGGACAGGAAGTGCAGCTCGTCCATGGTGGGTTGAGACGGCAGCTGGTGCAGACGCTCCTGAGACGAGCTGGAGGACTGCAGATAAACACACAGACTCACATCTCAATAAACTGTGACAGAAGGAAGGCATGAGCAGGCTGTAAACTATCAGGAAGCATCAGCTCCAGTCCCTAGTGAGCCGCCTACATAGACAGCATTTTAAGGGAACATAGATACAGTCCTGACATGAGGACTGCTTTAAACAGCAATCAGCAAATCAATGCTTATTTAATTATTACAAAGAAAAAACAAACATCAACAACAACAAAAAAATAAAAAGAACACTTATTCATAACAACAACATATAAATAAAAAAATACATGCATAAAAATATACGTTCTTTGACTATTACCATACTACATATATATATATATATATTATAATTATATATTATTATATAATAATATATATAAAAATGTATGTTTTAAAAATATAAAAAATATAAATGTTTTTGGAAAACAAAAAAATAATATTTCAGATGTGAATTAAATGCAGGTAAAATCAAATCATTGTCCTTGGTTTGAAAAAATATATGTTAATAATTTAAAATACGTATATCACATAATACAATATTAAATAATATAATAACTATTATTATTTATTTCTAGACTATTTATTACAAAACACTTTTTTATATATAGTCAAAACCACACAACAAAATTTAAAATTGACAAGAAATTTAAAAATGAAAATGTAAACTATCAAAATAAAAACTCATTTAAAATATTATTAAAAACTATAATAAGATATATAAAATACTACACTAACACTGTGTCTGACTGTACAGTGAAGACAGTCTTCAGCTGTGTTTGCTGCTCAGCTGATGTGTGTTCGTCACACCTCTACATGTGTTTACATGAGAAACTCACGTACCGTTGAGCTGGGAGTGTTTGTTCCATAACCAGAAGATGGAAGAGACGCCAGTGACCATCGACGCCCATCCCTACAGAGACAAAGAGTGCAGAAGCTGCAGAAGTGTTTATGCTACGGTTTTATTCCCAAGTGTGAGTGTGTTTGTTTTACCGTCTTGAGGAAGCGAAGGAGAAATGTGCCGGAGTGCTGGGCGAGAAGTTTCGAGGGCTGCCCAGAGGACTACTTCCTGTGTGGACAGGAACAACAGATGAAGCTCAATTAAGATCAAAGCTCAATCATGTAGGAAAAGCATATCAGTTAGTCTGTAAGCAGAATATGCATTAGCAAACACATCAGCATCTGTGTTTCCACGGCGACTGGTTTTCCAGCAGGGGGCGTGGCCACTCACCGATGTGCCCCGGTAACGGGGAATGTGGGCGGGGCAGAGTCGGGGAGGTGGAGGTCAGAATCAAACTCTTCCGGTTACTGCGGCAACTGCAGACACACAAACAGAGAATTCAATGGTTTAATTCAATTAATAAAGCATTTAAAGTGTATCAAATGTGAGACAATCAGAGGAAATAAAGAAACCGCTACAGATCAGCACAATTAATACACCATCGCTACAAAATGTATACATTTAATACATTTTAATTTAATAAATAATTTCATTTAAATAAATAAACAACAAGAAAACTAAATAAATAAAATACAAATAAAAACAAAAAATAAATGAACAAATAAATAAAAGAGAGTAAAAGAAATAAAAAAAAACATTTGAAAAATAAAATAAACTTTAAAATGGATAAATAAATAAAAATAAAAAATACGATACAATACAATTTTTTTTAAAAAGAGAAAAGAATAAAATAGAGTCAAATAAACTTTTAAATAATAATAAATAAATACATTTTAAATAAAACTTTAATTCACCAAATAAATACAAATAAATGAAAGACACTTCGAAATAAATAAAACACAATTAGAAAATAAAAAATTTAAACCATAAGAGTAAATAAAACTTTTAAAACATTTATTTATAAAGAAACAAACAAACAAACAAACTGAAAGAAACTTAGAATAAATAGATAAATACAAATGAAAATAAATAAACTTTAAAAATAGATTAATAAGTACAAATAAATTAATTAATGAAACTTCAAATACAACTGTAATAAAAAAAATGCATCACCTCGCTAATTAATAAATATAACCAACCGAACATCGTAGCTCATCCCTAACTCTAATGATTAAAAGGAATATTTTATTTTAAGAATGAATTGTTTTCAGATTTGTTTTCCATCATCAGATGTCTTGATTAGATCAAATTATGTTCAGACAAAATCACATCAGAGCCGAGAACAGAGAAACTGCTGTGTGTGTGTATGTGTGTGTGTGTGTGTGTGTAGTGGGCGAGGGGTTGCAGAGAGGCATGTTGGTCCGTCAGCTCTGCTGGTGTTCCGGGGCTCGCACCAGGTGTGTGCGTGTGTGTGTGTGTGTGTGTGTGTGTGTGTGTGTGTGTGTGTGTGTGTGTGTGTGTGTGTGTGTGCCCTACAGAAGAACAAGAGCGATACAGAAAATTCAGTTTCTACAGTCATCAATCTGACTCTATGTGAGCCGGCGCTCTGAAGAAACTCTGGACGAGAGACATACAGATAAACAGATGAGAGAGAGAGAGAGAGCTAATGGAGGAGAGAGTAAAAGAGAGATACTTGATACGCCTCGAGTGACTGTATGAGAGCCATTACACACCATTACAGTGTGTGTGTGTCTGTGTGTGTGTGTGTGTGTCAGGCTTTATCTACATTGTAAGCAGCGAATGTCCCCACAAGGAAAGTAAAAGCTGAAATCAGCTACACTGAGCAAAGCTGAAAAACAGCTGAAAAATGCTTAATAAACTGCCTAAAGTGTGGACTGACGGTTAGTTAACAGTCTTTAGGGATCATCCTGAACAGAGCGACCCGAGACCCCGTCCCTCTCTTAAAGAGACAGCGTCCTTATTAAATACACATTATCTCTCTTAAAGTGACAGCACCCCTTCTAAACGTTTGTTTCTAGAAGCTTTACTTTCACTGTTCCTCAACGGAGGAATGATCTTCACAAGCCTCCAAAACATCTCACATCTCATCTTTTGAGGAACGTTGATTTGTTAATCTCTCAGTCATCCTTGTATTGCACTGCATTATATGTTTTGCTCATTAAACTAAGCATTTAAATATCTTACTAAGACATTTTTTGGGGGATATATAGAGTGACATCTGATATTTATATCATTTTATGTAAGTAATCTGTTATACCCGTTATAAAGATCTCATTGATCAGAATCCCATTTTACTTTTTGGCCATATAAATATCAGTATATGCACCAAATTGCATAGTTTTGCTCAGTTTGGGCCTCTGAGTAAAACTCTATTTTCACTATAGCAGACTAAATGTATCAAATATGATACTCAACAAAAAAGATTTTTCCAATATTTTGTCTAAAGATTCAATAAACTTCCACTAAAAAATAAAATAAAAATTCTGTCTATTATTTCATATGTCAACGTTAAAAACACGGTACCTCTCTTAAAGAGACAGTACCTCCTAATTTCAGCGTTCGAGAACAACAACTATTGAGACTTTTGGCATCATCATGGAGGATTTAAGACAAAGACTAGAAGCTAATAGATCAGTTATTCACCAACACATTCAAATGATCCACAAGTAATATATGAAGCAAAAGTGTTCGCAGGACTTTGTTACTAAAAACACTCATGAGACTCAACAAAAAAGTAAATGTAGTTCATTTTGAGTCATAGTTATTGGCTCAAATACACAAGTTTCAAATACAAATTTTCATTCAATTCAATCAAACGCCAAAATATATACACTATACACATGAAATATCATATGAAGCCAGATGCATTAATCAGAACGTTCACTAACGTGTTAAACCTCCTGCACTAATACAGTTAGTGTGTCACAGGCTGCAGGTAAACAATGACCTCAGCGATATCCTCATGTGTAGTAAAACCACATTTAAAACAGATTTGGAAATAATTTCACCTTTTAGTGCGCCGAAACACACCGCGCTGCATGACTGAGAGCACAAAGCAGCCGAACGCTCAGAAACAAGCAGCGTGCATCACAAACATCATCAGATGGAGAGCGCTTAGAGACCGTCTGCCTTTGCCTGCACACTGGAAAATAGAGTGCAGCGGGGAATTCTGGGTAAAATCTCGAGGGCAGCGGAGGATACCAAGACGAGCATTAAAAGAGGGGGAGCAGGTGCAGCACATCCGTTCACAAGATGCTGCTGAGTGTGTGTGTGTGTGTGTGTGCGTGCGTGCGTGCGTGTGTGTGAGTGTGTGTGTGTTTCAAAATGTAAGTGCAATATGCTTTTTCCCAGAGGTCATGGTGATATAACTGAGAATCGTGGAAAAAAGTAAATGAGTGAAAAAGAAAGCTTTTAAAGAAATGGACAGAGAGAGAGAGAGAGAGAGACAGACATGCAACCTGACAAAGAAAGACAGGTTGAGTCAGGGTTATTAGAGTTAACTACAACTAAAATCAGAAAAACACTTTTTTTTATTACTTGAAATAAAATAAACATTAACTGAAATAAAACAAAATAAAAAAAATTTAAAGATATTTATTTCAGCTAGCTGGCAAGGCAACATTTCTCATTTTCTTTGATTTAACTTGAAGTACTAAAATAACTAATACTAAACAAACCATAAAAAAAAACATTTGTTACTTGAAATAAAATAAATGTTAACTGAAATAAAATAAAATGTAAAAAAAAAACTTAGAATTATTTTATTTCAGCTAGTTGCCAAGACAACATTTCTCATTTTTGTAAACTCCAAGTACTAAAATAACTCAAACTAAAACTAAATAAACCATTAAAAAAAACATTTTCATAACTTGAAATAAAATAAATGTTAACTGAAATAAATAAAATACATTTAAAAAAACTTAAACTATTTTATTTCATATTTCTAATTTCAGTTTAGTTTAACTTTAAGGACTAAAATAATTAAAACTAAATACACTAATAAATAAAAATTTACAAAACCTGTATAGACAAGTATAGACATTTTAAAAAAAGAAAAAACTAAAACAAATTACCAAAAAAAAAATCACAAAAACTTTAGCTAAAATTTTAAATTAAACAGAAAACAAAAATAAAATCTAATTTTAAAAAATGTACACAAATTATAATAGTATCTCAATGACATGAAAAACACTGTGTTGAGTTTGTAACACACACAATATCAACCCATATGGCAATTTACCATGGTAACCTCTAAAATACCACAGTTACTACACTTACTGTCAGGATGCAACTACTCATTGTTTTATGTATTAAACCCTGATCCACACCACATGCATCTAATCAGAATAAAAAGACGCAAAGGAAGCATTTATTTATCTTTTATTATTACTGAAAACAGACTCACCTGCTGTTCTTACGGGGCAGAGGAAGATCCTTCTGGGCCGAAGACAGAGACACAAACAGACAGAGAGAGAAAACAGAGGTCAGACAGGATCAACTCAGTCATGCCATTAAATCAGATACAAAAAATATCACAGTAAGCATCATTTATAGTGAAGAAAGAGGCACAAACACAAAAAAAGAATGATTTTAAATGATAAAACAATGAGAAAAACAAACCAGAAACTATTTAATATTAATTAAAGTGTGTGAATGTCACTGAGTTTGTGTTTGAAGCAGTTTGGCACATTATTGCAGCACTGAACACGACACAAACGCATCCGTCTGCTGGGTTCGTGTGGACGAAACACACAGAGAGATGCTGCTGCTGCTGTCCTTCAGTTCTCTCTGTACGTCTGCGATTGAACACATAATCCGCTCTCATTCGTCTCGCTGACAGACTCTCTGTCTCTCTGTGAGACTCCAGCAGATGTTCATTCACACACAGAGGAACGGGCCGTGCGTGTTATGTACTTATTGTAAATGATTTGTCAGTGCATATTATTATAAAGAGATGAGACCTTCTTCATCCCATCAATCACACTCCGAGCCCCGCCCTCTAAAGCCTTCTCAGCCAATCCGAATTCAGCAAAAAGTTTCATGACTTAAAAAGTTGCTTTATTCGTTTCTAGTTGAACATAACTATATTTCAATCATGGCAACTCTCGGAAGATTTTAGCATGGTGATGGATATGACAATGTTAATGTATTTGGTCTTGGCGAAACAGATCTTTAGAATTGCTGCTGCTGTTGGTTATTGCTGTAGTTGTAGATTATTGCTGCTGCTGCTGCAAGCAAGTACAGGAACTTACTACTGCCAATGCATACGGCGATATGGTGCCGTGAGTATTTAAGACATACTGCTGCTGCACAAATAGCATATAAAATAACCCCGTAGC